CCAATTCACATTTTTCAATCATTCAGAGAATGATTGTAAAAGCAAACAATAGTCTTGGGGCTGGGAAGGTGACTCAGTGGTAGAGCGCCTGCCTTGTATGCATGAGGCCCTGGGTTCGATTCCTCAGCACCACATAAGCAGAGAAATATGGAAGTGGCACTGTGGCTCAATGGTAGAGCGCTCACCTTGAGCTGAAGAGCTGAGGGACAGCGCCCAGGCCCAGAGTTCAAGACCCACGACCTACCAAAAAAAAAAAAAGCAAACAACAATCTTGTCAGAATCTGCGTTCTCTCCTTTAGAGGTTTTTTTTGTTTGTTTTCTTATTAACCGGGAGGTAGGCATAATTCAGAGTGGCTGTGGGTATTCCTGTTCAAACTAAGATGTTGTTAAATCTTAAATATCCTTTAGGAATGGCTGCGGGTGGCGTGCATTCTAATAGAAAAGTCACCGTGGCTTCCCATAACTGGCTAAAGACATGAGAATCAGTACGTGGTGTAGCTGTACAACTCCATTACCACAGGACTGCCACGTGACACACGGTCTTAATTTTTTAATATGCACTTTTCTATCTGTTTCACCGAGGTATGACGGATTTCATCTTCAGGCGGTTAGAAAGATAATGCTCCTTTCTTCTCCATGTTCCCATCAGGAGCCTGTGTGTTCTGGGAGCTTTAAAAAAAAAAAAAAGATAACTCAGCAGCTCCATACTGTGTGAAGATGGAAATTCGGCTTCCCAGATGTGATTTCTGTTCAAAAGAACATGGAATCTGGTAAACTTCCCCTGACTCCCTGGGGGGGTGGGAACTATTTTAGAAACTTCACTCATTCTTTCAGACAAGATTCAGAGTGGATCTCTGAGGAGATTTCTTTAAATAAAAAAAAAAAGTATCATCTTATTGAAAGCCCTCTGGACATGAAGGGCCAAACAACGCTATCTCCATAGTTTGTCTCTAAGAATACGCTAGAAACATAAACACCCAGTGACTAGCCACCTGCTTGCCTTTACGTGAAGTGGTGTATTTCTAGAACTCTCTCTGCCCAAAGGGATTCTGGGCAAAATGTTATGTTTGTGTGCTGGCAAAGTGTTGTTTGTTTGTGCGTCTGGCGTGTGTCAGCTCAGATCTGGCTCTCGATGTGCGGTGACTCAGTCTGCTGGGCAGCCGGGGTCCAGGCTGCTATTACCCCCCCCCTTTGTAGATGAGAGGACATCTTCTCCTCCCCCGTTGACAAGGAAGGAGGGAAGCTGGGGTTTGAACCCTGGACTGGCCGACTCCAAAGCCCACACCCTTAACTACCATGTTTACAGACCTTCTCCTCAGTCGTCTCCCTGGTCTTAAAGTCACTAAGCATTCATTTATTTATTTATTTAACAAGTGCCCTGGGCATTGCAGGGCGGGGCAGGCAGGGGTGAGTACGCATCCCGCACAACCCCTGACCCAATCAAATGGACCCACATGCTGATTGGCCCTTCCAGTGAGGGATATAGTAGGACCTGCGATGCTGATTGGCCCTTCCAGTGAGGGAATATTAGGGCCCACGATGCTGATTGGCCCTCCCAGTGCGGGAATGTTAGGACTCACAGGCTGGCTGGTGTCTCTGGGATGAGTGTATGCTCCAAAGACCTGGCACAAATACCCTCTCATGAATACCCTCCCGTCCCTCCGCCCCGTCCCGTGGCTGAGAACCTCCCCTGGCTCCCAGAGCTTTGCTGTTCTTCGAATGTGGTGGCTTTGAGGGAGCGAGCGAGCTCTGGCTTTTCTCATGCTGCCACCGGCAGCCAGTTGTTAAAGTATCATTAACGGGGACCCAGACAGAGATGACAGGTGTAAACAGTGTATAATTTATGATGCGGGGATCAGGTTTCTCCACGCCCTGAGCAACTGCTTGTGGGCTCGCTTCACCTGGGCCCCGTCTGAGCTGTCTGCACCTGCGCTCTCTCTCTCTCTCTCTCTGTGCAGCGTCGTTTGAGAAACATTTGGGATTAGGGACACAGGCCCGCTGACATATGGGAAATGGTTGGTGAATGTCTAGGTGCTGGGTACCCTGGTCTCCTTTCTGCCCAGTGCTGGGGGTGGGGGTGGAGTCAAAGACTTCAGTGACTCTGGTGCTTCTAGAAGGTTTGAGGTTGGGGGGGGGAACTGAACTGCTGTTCCCAGAGGCGGATTCCCTTCTCTGTCTTTTTGCCGGGGCCTCCTTGGCTGCCCTCTTACATTTTTCAGCGCTGACATGTTTCAGGAACACTTGGACTAAGTCGGGGTACTTGGGGGAGGGCGCTCTGACTGAAATGATTTCCTGGAGAAGCTGAACATGGCCTAGGAAGTCCCAATGATGGGAAATCCTGGCCCAGGCAGACCAGCACACGTTTCTAGAAAGCAGACGGGCCAAGCGAGGAAGAAGACAGGAATTCACCTCGCACTGAGCTCCCGGCCTTCCTTCTTCTGGTCCAGCTCGCGTCCCAGGGCCCTGCCCCCCCCCCCGCCCCCCCCCCGCCCCCCAGCTCTCCATGGCCACCGTCAGCCCAGTTCCCAGGTTGAGTTTTCTTCCTGACATTCCACACGCATTCCTTCTCTCAAGGCGGAACTTGTCCTCATTATCCAACACATGCAAAAGGGTAGCCGTGACCTGAATGTAGTTGCTTCCTCCCTCCTCCCCTCCCAGGCCTGTTTCCTCCTCCTGTAACTCCCTCAGAACGACTCCCACATGGCTAGCGTGGTGGTGGGGGGGGGCGGTGGTAGGGTGGCACACACCCTTAATCCCAAATGTTTCAGAGGCACAGACAGGAGGACCTCCGTTGGAGGCTGGCAGGAAAAGCAAGGAAGACTCTATCTCAAACACACACTAAAAACAGAGCCCCAGAGGTCTGCGGAGCGCTGTGCGAGCGGTCCTGCGCCTGTTACTGAACGCAAAGGCCTCGAGTGGCATCCTGAGACTCCGTCCCCCACCCCCACGTGGTTCCTCAGCGAGCTTTGTCCGTCTTCCCACCACGAGCTCTCCCTCCCTCCTGCCCACCATCTTTGCCGCCACCGTTCTGTTTAGCTGAGCTCTCTGGCGTATCCTGTGAGCCGGGCCCCGTCTCTGTCCTTCCCCAGGACGTGATGCTCTCCCCGGAGGCCCCCACCCAGGCCCGGTCCGGCCCACGCCACCCACCAGGTGCCCGTCTCCACCACTGCCAGCCCCAAAGGGGCTCTTGAGTCCTCAAAAACCTTACGGTGACGTCCGGCTGCTGCTACTTCACAGGACGTTCAGGGTCCCCTCCCCAGGGACCGGCTCTGGCCCCTGCTCCCCGTCCAGTGCTCCCCTGCTCCCTCCCTTCACACAGAGCACCGGCTGCGACGGGGAACAGGCCCAGGCACCCACAGCCGAACCACACTGCCCGCCTCTGGGCTGTGGGCCCTGACATCTCCCATGATGCCTTTCTGCTGGACACACAGGGCTCTGGGCAGTGCTGCGGGGAGCGGAGGGAGTTGTTGTCCCTGAGTTTAGGAATGCAAACATGAAGAAGACGTTACACTGTGACGGCCGAAGGCTTTTCCACAGGGACCACAGAAACCTCACCCAGGCGCTGGCCGCCGAGGAGATAGATGGCAGATTCAGGCCTTTCTGGCAACGGAAATACCAGGAAAGGGAATGTATTCACCCTTGCGAGTGTGGAAATTCAGCCGCTTTGCCTCGGGGAGAAAGACGCGGGCCATGAGATTTGGCACAGCTGGCATAGGAGTTGTGACCAAGTCACATTATGGGAGAGGTGGAGGGAGAGAGGGAAGATGGAAGGAGGGAGGGAGGGAGGGAGGGAGGAAGGGAGGGAGGGAGGGAGGGAGGAAGGGAGGGAGGGAGGGAGGGAGGTCAGTGGTCTGGGGAGAAACAGGGTACAGGTGTAAGGCCCACAGAAGCCCCACTGGTTCATGGAGGACAGGAAGGATCTGAAGGAAGTGGTTGTACAAGTTTCCAGACAAGTGTGTGATCTCTGGAGTTTAAATGACTGGAGGCTTACTGGGGGCCACTGACTGTCCACCTGGCCTCACAGCCAACTGGAAATACAAGCTGACTGGGTCGATGGTGGTTGACCCGCCAGCCAGGAACGCAGACGGCAGGCAGGAAGGCTGACTCCGATGGGAGATGGCCTAACAGCGTTCTGTCGAGATTACAGGGGTCATGAACCCCAAGATCCAGACACACCCTGAAAAGTGGGGCTGAGGCTGACCAGAGAGGGAGGCTGGAGGGCTTATTGATGTAGGTGGGTAGCTTTTGGGTTTGGGGTTGGTTTGTTTGTTTCCTTTTTTGAAGACGAGGTCTCCCTCAAAGCCCCGGCCGGCTTCATCATCATGATCTTCCCACCTCAGCCTCCCGAGGGCTGGGATTACAGACGTGTGTCACCACGCCTCGCCTGCCCGACCCCTCTCTTCCCCACACCCCTTCCCTTTCTCTCCATCAGATCCAGTCTTGTGCAAGTTAAGCCCAGTTCATCTTTGAAATACCCCACCTGGGAACCCTCAGTACAGAGACTCCAAATGCCAACGGCCTTGTGAACCGCACCATGGCCCTTTCCTCGGTCTTTGTTTCCCTTGCCACCCAGGGAATGCTTACAGAGCGAGGTTCTTCTACAGCTCCAAGCATACATGCTAGGCTTTAGGCATTGCCATATTTGTTTATCATTAAGCAGCAACTACAAGCATTAAAACAAACAAACAAAAAACACCACAGCTCTCCAGATCATTCAATCATCGCCATCTCCTTCGCCCACATGAATGATTTCAGATAAAAGGTGCCCGCCAGACTGGACTGGTGTCTATCCCCAGCTCTACCTGTGAGGAACTTGATTTTCTTGTACGAGAATCATCAGTTAGGAAAATCAAGCCTGAGGAACAGCAGTGAACTGGGCTCCCCTCCCCTGTCCCGTTCCCCCCCCCCCCCCACGGGACTGGATTGGTCCTTTGGTACCATTTCTAAGAGCGCTTGGAATCAACGGGAGCGGGGAAGAGCTGAGTCCATTGTTTACTTACAACTAAACCAAAGACTCCTCTCCCGCAGCATTAGGATTCCTGCTTGGCTGGTTTTAAATAGACGAGACTCTGCCCAGACATTTGCCACCAGCTCAGAGAAGAAAGAGACATTGTCCGGGGACACAGTCGTGGGAAGGCCGGCCGCACCGGGGTCGGACTGCACACCTCAGACCTCAAGTGGACTTTGACCAATCAAAGTCTCCCTGGACATCTCGCACAGGGCAGGCCAACCCAGGGAGGACCGAAGAAAGAAATCCCCTAAGTACCTCTGTTGGGAAGACATTACGGCACTAAAATGGGGAGACCCAAGCTGGCCAGCAAACCACCCCCCCGACTCTCACAACAAGCTACCATGTGCTTATCGGCCTTGGACCACAGAGAAAGGCCCCGATCTTCCACCAAACGCCCTGGTAACCAGCCCAGGTCCCGATTGGCCCAATGGGCGGGGTACACCATTGTCCAGTCCTCTTTCCAGTTGGGGGACGGCCACCCAAAGCCAGCACCTCTGAATGGGGGAAAGGCTTTTTTTATTTAAACCTCGTGTGATTAAGAAAAAAATAAAATCAACCAAACGGGTGCTGCTTTCTTGTGCGAGGCAAAAGCATGCACGACTTTGCCAGCTCCGAGTTCAAGACTGGCCGGCTCTTAAGAGAGGCAGACGGGCAGTGTGTTCGTGTGTGTGAACAAAATGGCAGCCCCAACAACCGCGAGAGGGAGTGTGCACCACTGCACACACACAGACACTCGTGCACACGCGCGCACGCATACAGGCCGGGCTGAGAGGAAAACCGAACTCGTAACCGTAAAAGATAAGCACAGAAAGGTGAGGTTGGGCCCAGAGGGGCCCAGGACCATCACCAGCTGTCCAGTTTATGAAGAAACCAGCGCTTAAGCCCACCCTCCTCCCCCACCTCTCCCTCTGCGGGAGGAGTCTTCCAGAAGCCACGCAAGGCCCGGGAACTTCCCACATGGCCATTCTCCAAGTGTGTGATTTAGGGGGAAAAATACCTTTATTCTTATTCAACCACAGGGACACCAGGTAGCTCGCGCCTGTAATCCTGGCTTCTCAAGGGGCTGAGATCAAAGGATCATGGCTCCACGCTAGTCCAGGGAAGGATTCCTTATCTCCGACCAACAGCCAGAAAATCCGAATAGGAGCTATGGCTCCAGTGGTAGAGTGCTAGCTAGCCTTGGGCAGACGAAACTCAAGGACAGCATCCAGGCCCCGAGTTCAAGCCCCAGGACTGGCACCAGGGGGAAGGGAGGGGAAGGCAGTTAACAGTGACCTAAACTTTTAGGGTTTAAACTTTCCTCTAGGGTTGCCTAGAGGAAGGGTGAATCGTGGGAGCGTCCAAAACACTCCATTTTAGGAACTGAAATGCCCACAGAAATGGCTGAATATCTTCACCTGCTCTTAAAATCTCGGGCCAGACGCTTTGTGCGGGCCATGCCTGAGGCCTTCTCCATGTGAATTCTCTGGGCCAGATCCGCTCACGGCCTCCATGGATTGTGTGTGTATTTTTATTTTTTTCCAATATTGGTAATGGGGTCTGCGTGATCCTTTAAAAGCATTGCCTTTCTTGAACTAATTTGTTGATGGGCTTTAATCCCCTCTCCGCCCTGCCCAGGGCCTGTGCGGGGTAAGATGAGCAGTCACTCAGTCTCTGAGCTGTCAGAGGCACCCCTGTGGACCTGGCCCCGGGTACTGGGGAATGAATCACCCCCAGGACCTTTGCACCCCGTATGTCTGGAGCTCTTGGAGCACTGTTATTCTGAGCATCCGCTCCAGATTAGCTCTGAGCAGAGGTTGGTGGGTGGGTACGTTGTTTCTGCTCATCTTATCAGCGACCTCCTTCGCCAGGTGTATCTCCTGGAACCTATTTCAGGACCTGCTTTCCATATGCTTACATTAATTATATACAAGATCCATAAATAAACCAACGTCACAGACAAAGCTGAAGTCCAACCTGACAATCGCACGCGTCTTAAGCCTCTTCACCCCAGAACATCCGCGGCCTTGGGCGCGGCAAGCACACCTCATTACCATGCGCGTCTGGTAGAATTTTTTTCTAGAATTTTCTTTGCCCCTTCTTTTTTTTCTTCTTGACTTTGGAAGTACTGGGATTTGAACTGGGGCCCCGGTGCTTGCTTAAGCAGGCTTTCTACCCCTTGAGCGGTGCCCTCCTTTCTTGAAATTTTAATTGGGTGTGTTTGCTGCACTAACGTCTTCTCGTCACCCTAACTGTGGAGACGACCCTATTTTTCCCACTGGAAATCATTCACAGAGGTGAAGAGGACGTTTTTAAATGACATGTTCCACAATTAAGTAAGTTTCGCGTCATTGCGGATTAAATGTGATTTTAAATACCTGTCCTTATGTAATACAACCTCAGACTTCCACCCCTGGGACTTCCCACAAACACCGTGGGCATGGCTGCAATGCTTCTAAACATCCTCCAACGCTTTAAAACCAGCCCTGAAACACGGACAGCCACGTGGCTTCTCTTGAGTGTGTCCCCAATTCATCCTACCACACGAGCCACACTGATTTTCAGCACTATTTATTCCCCTCTCGGGTAGATCCTGAGATTTAGTGATTTTTCAGGGTCCTCGAAGTCTGAGTCCTTTGTACCTGGCTAACATTTCACTTCTGGTCCACATTCACTTGGCATTACACAAGCTAAGCTGCATTCTATTGCTTAGTGGCCGGTATACATTCTTGGGTATTTACTAGCCTGCTTTTCCTCTTTTTTCCCTATTAGTTTTACTTTCCAGGTTCATTTCGTCTTATTCATCCTCATGTGCTCAACTTGATAACTTCTATAAAGCCTTTCATAAAGAAATATAAATTCTCAGTTAAAGAAATGATAGCATTTTATAAGCGAGGTCTGTTTTCTTTAGCTAATGAGATAGGATTTAACTTGTAGTTTCAAAGTGTGTAGCTATTATCACACTAGGAGATACCGTTCTTTAATTAGAAAATTACCCATCATCATGCTTTTGACTGGAGATCATTTGAAATTCCTCTTTCAAAGCAGATGAGTAGGGCCTGGGGGGCATGGCTCAGGCAGTAGAACACCCGCTTAGAGATTAGAGGGGCCTGAGTTCAAACCCCAGCAGACCTCCAACAATAAGCAATAAATCATAGAGCAGCACGGTCCTGCGGATCCCTCTCTGACCACTTCAACCTCAGTCTCTGAACCATGCAGTAAGAGGCTAGCTCTCGGGCCTGTGCGTCTGTCTCTGGGTGACCTCCTTCTTTTGTTTGACAAGATTGCCCGGTGTGGAGCTCATTGGGTACCTCTCCTCCCGGGAGAGCCCGGGCCCGGCTCATAGCCTGACACCCAGAAGGGATGAACTGCCTGTTTATGCACAGGTGTGCCGTGGATCATGGCGCAGGTCGGCCGAGGGGGCGGGTGCTTGTGATCAGGCAGCCCGCGTATTTTATGCACACGGATCTGTGTCTGTAGGTGTTAGGGGAGAGACGGGGGGGGGGGGGGGGGGGGGGAGACAGAGAGATTCATTTGGCCTGTTTGGTCATTGCTGGCTCCATGTCTTCCTTGAGAGTTCATTCTCCTCTGACGGCCCCGGTGCCTGCCAACAACGTCTTCTCCTTCGGGTCGGCATCCTTTGGCACGGGGGGGTGGCAGCCCGGTTCCGCACGGTGGAAGGCAGATGGGGAGAAGCCTTGTGTAAACACTATTTTCCATTCGCCAACGGGTGTGCGAGCGCTCAGTCCTCATCCGCAGACAGGAGTAACTCGGTGGAGGGGCCGGCGGCGGGGGCGGCCTGCTCTGCCGTGGCTGACTCTGGACTGTATCCTGGGGGCAGGTCCCCACGGGGTCCCTCCGTTCCCGGTGAGCACCTCAGGCCGCTCTGTCTAGGTTTAGTTTTCCGTGTGTGTGGGGAGGGGGAGGGCAGGATCATCAAGGGCAGGAGCTTATTATTTTGGGGGTACTTGTTAGCCTTCAATGGCACCTGAAAGCCACGTTCTACAAGGAAGCCACCCCAGGCCAGTGTGTCGGGTTAAGGGTTAATTATTGTGCGTGTTCCTGCACTCAGAGGCCACCCACACACGTTCACCCCGTCGGTACACCAAGCTGGCATTATTGTCATTACAAGTTCAAACGCTAATTAATAGTTAGGGTGCACCCGGCCACATCTGACGCACGAATGGCTACCCAGAGTAGAGGAAGAAAACCCCTCAGACCTTCCAGAGGCTTCCTCCAGCCGGCGGAGGGACCTGCCTTCCCATGCACACGGCCCATCTCCCCTTTCCCATTTTCCTCGGTATTCTGCCCCTCCCCACCCGGGGGGAAGAGAGAGGGGGCATTGTTAGCTCGGACAACCCACAAAGATCAAGGGGGACAAATCGACCCAGATCAGACAGGGCTGTCTTCCGCTCGAAACCTCTCTCTCTGCCCCCCCCCCCCATCTCCTGAAATATTCTGCAAAACAAAAAGCCTAGCTCAACCTTCTCTGGGTCTCTACTGAAAACACCTCCCACTCCCTAGAATAGTCTCCACACAGACGAGCGGTAGAGAATGCTCATTCGTATATACAGCGCGACTGTCATAATATCCAACAGAGTATAAACGGGACACCGCCCAATCCTTAGGCTCCCACTCTTTAACTCAAAGAATGTCAACTCTTCGCTGCAGGTTTATAATCCACCCAGTTTCTAGGACAGTTTAGCCCAGATTTTTTTTGGGGGGGGGTTAGGGGGGAGCAGGGGAAGCAACACACACATCCACCACATGCTGACACAAATTTGTGTTGGCAGAACACAAAATAAATGAGCCGGGCGCCGGTGGCTCACGCCTGTCATCCCAGCTACCCAGGAGGCTGAGATCTGAGGATCAGGGCTTGAAGCCAGCTCACACAGGAAAGTCCCTGAGGCTCTTTCTTATCTCTAACAAACCACCCAAAAGCCAGAAGAAGTAGGGCTGTGGCTCAAGTGGTTTAGCACTAGCCGTGAGCAATGAAGCTCTGGGAACAGCGCCCTGGTCCCGAGTTCAAGCCCCACCACAGACAAAAAAAAAAAGCAAATGCCATTCTTGTGACGCATCAGGAGGGTTTTGGATTCTCTGACGGCCAGTTTCTCACGCAGACGGAACGCAATTGCGTAGAAGCG